TCCCTTCCCTTCCCTTCCCTTCCCCTTTCCCCTTTCCCCTTTCCCTTCCCTTTCCCTTTCCCTTTCCCTTTCCCTTTCCCTTTCCCTTTCCCTTTCCCTTTCCCTTTCCTTTCCGCCAGCAGAATACTTGATGTCCCCTCCCCAGCCCCTGACATCTCTCTTGTTGCCCTGTCCTTGCTCTGTTCTTGCCCTGTCCTTGGACACCTCCACTCTCCCTCCTGGACCCAGTGTGTGCTGGGTCGCTCTGGGAGCAGATTTCCAGGGGAGGCAGAGTTGGGATGGGGAGAGGTTTAGCAGGTCCCAAGCTGCTGTTTGGGATGCAAAGCTCTCTCTGCTCATAGATGATGATAAAGCAAAGAAATCAGTCCCCAGATGGCTTTACCTGTCCGGTGTAGCAGAGCCAATGGAAAGTCAGTGACAGAGACTGAAGAGCCCAACTAACCCTTTGGGGAAGCAGGGGACAAAAAGAGGAGTTTCTGGGTAGTTGGGAGATGAGACAAGAGCATGAGGAGAGCACAGGGAAGGCAAGAGCTGGGAACGTGCTGGGAAATAACAGAGGTGTAAGGGGTTTGTGGGAAGAGACAGCAGTTGTTTATGGCCCATTCTCTATCTCGCTAACTTGTTTGTCCAGGACAAGCGTTCGAGTGTGACTGTTGTGATCATGTGTTGTGCATGTGCTGAACAGGAAGTCTGAATTCCCAAATCAAGCACTTTCAGCATGACTCTTAAATCAGTATAAGTTAGTTCTGGGATAGGGATGAGGCAAAATGAAGGCTTTGGGGCATGGAAGCGTGATGATTTGGAGGTCTGAGTTGTGTACCATGCCTGGAAATCACAGGATGGGTCTTGTGTAAAATCCTGATGGGGAAAGCGGGCAAGCCGTCTGCCCAGGACCTGCTGTAGCTCCTGAAAAGTGTCCCCGGCTCCATCCATTTGACATCCCTAAGCAAGAATCACAAACTGGCAGTAGAATATTTGTGCCTTGTGAGTCTTGGACTATTTCTCTATCAAGCCCAGCATGTCCCAAATTGCCCTGTCCATCCCTCTGCCTGTGCTTGCGGTGGTCGAAGATGGTCTGGGAGAACTGGGCTAATGAAGCTGGTGGTGACGCTGGTTCATGCCTTGCCTTGGGACTGTCCTTCAGCACAAGAAGACCTGGGCTCAGGCAGTGGTTTGGGACAGCGTTGTGTGTCATAGGTCCATAGGAATAGAGGGCAGGGGCTGCAGTACCTTTCCTCTTGTCCCAGGGAAAATGTTGTTAAAAGGTCATTCTACAATATGTTATCTTGAGTCTAGATCTTTATGTCTCTTCTGAAACCAGTCTCACATGAGGCAGTTCTGAAGGGGCAGTGCGTGGACCCACTGATGTCTGAGGCTGTGCACTTCTCTTCTAGGGCATTCTCCTCAAACGCAGTGGCAAGTCTCTCAACAAGGAGTGGAAGAAGAAGTACGTGACGCTGTGTGACAACGGAGTCCTCACCTACCACCCCAGCCTGCATGTGAGTGCTGCACAGAGCGGGGCCGGGCGCGTAGAGCTGGGCTGAGGAGCAGGGTGGGCAGAGCGTCCTCCTCCGTGCTGCGGCCAACGCTGCAGATGCTCCAGGTGCAGGGCTGCTTGTAAGGGCCTTGGGGTGAAGACACAGTCTCTCCTTGCAGAAGGACCCAAAGCAGGAGTGTCAGTGATCTCTTCTACAGGACAGGCTTATTAAACACATTTGGTACACTTATTTACCAGAGTCTGGAGAAACCCCCTTCCCTCCCGTGTAAGCTGTCTCCCTCCAGTATCAAGCTGGGTGGGAAAGGCTGCTAGGAACATGCTCTGCATGGAATTATGCTAAGTAAATGCATCTTCCTTCCCTGTCTTTTCCTTGCTCAGCCCATTAAGGCCGGGGTTGCCACCTCCCTGCCTCTGGGGCGAGGAGCAGGCAGAGAGCTCCTTGCAGCCATGTCTGATGGTGCCATTTGGGTGTGGAATAATTTTCCTGGCTGCTAGGTATTGGGTAAGGGAGATGAGGTGCCTGTGCAGAGCCTGCCGAGCTGAGCTGTCACTCCATGCAGCTCGGATCCCCTTCACTGCTTGGCTCAGGCACACAGCTGCCTCCCCATCCATCTCTGTCGCCTCCCCACTGTGGGGCTAATGACTTCTTCCCCATTCCCTCTTGAGCACAGTTTGCTGCCGAGAGAGTGAGCCATGGCCAGGCACACCTGTGGCACCGGGGACCACAGCGCTTCCGAGCAGAGGACGTTGCTTTGCAGGAGAGCACCGGATGGGCAGCCCCGGAGCAGGATGCTGGGAAGCTCTCTGGGACGAAGGAGCAAAGAGCAGTGGCTCCAGCCCTGGCCTCTTGCTCGCTCCGCACGCCGGGGCCACGGCTTGGTCTGCAAACACCTCAGACACATGGGGCTCGCAGTGACCCCAGCCTCACAGCCCTTCCCTCGCCTTGAGCCCCATGGCCCCAACCCATGGGCTCGCTGGGCTCGCTCCTCCAGGCCCCAAATGTTCTCCAGCCCCTTTGCCTCTTGGCCCTGTGACTGATAAACGTGAAAACCAGGCATTACATTTCCCATGGATTACATTCATGGGACCTCTGAAAGCAGTTTTCCCTTTCGGTCTTTGGCAGCTGTACCATACAATGCCTTGTCTGGTTCTACAGTTTCCTAACTTCGCAGTCACATTTTTTGGCCTTGAGGGGGAGGGTGGCAGGGGTGGCTGCTGCCCGCTCGGGGTGTGGGTGCACGCGCTCAGCTGTGGGTCTGACACCTTTGCACTGGAGGCTCCATGGCCCTTGGTGCAAACAGCTCAGAGGCACGATAGTTTCTGGGGCGTTGTTGAACTGCTCACAACCGATGCTGCTGCACGCTGTGCTTCTCTCCTCTTTATGCATTTCTTCCTTGGGGGTGATTGAGATTGATGTCACTACCTTTCCTTCAGCGGTTTGTTTCATTACTATATTTCCACAAGCAAAAGTGTGGCTTGCTTCCACGCGGTGCCACTGGTGCTGCCCAGCCCATGGCTAAGAGAGGACCGAGAGGGGCCTCTCCTCCCCTGGATTACACTGAGTGCTGTGAACCTTCCACCCAGGACACAGGACTGTTCACCGGAGCAGCCAGGCGCTGCTGGGGACAGCAGAAGGCTCCGCCGCTGCCCTGCCGGCTCCGGCAGGGATGGGGAATCCTGCCCGTGTCCGGCTGCACGGCCACCCTGAGGGCTGGGACACGGAGCAGTGACGCCTGCCGTCGTGCTGTGCTTTCTTCTGTAACATGGACAAACCCAGGGCTGAGGAACTGTGTGCAGATCAGGTTGCCGGGGACCCCCCTGCCCGGGTACCGGCTTCACCTCCTCCTTAGATGGGACGGAGGTAGGAAGGCAGCCTGGAGGAAGAGAGAGTCCGGAAGAGGATGTCCCGTTACATCCTTCCCATCTTCGGGAGTGACTTGGATGGTGCAGAGCTTTTGTCACCTGCTTCGTCTCCAAGTTTCCATGTCCTTTCCTGGGACGTGACAGGGCAGAGCCCGTTAGGGAGTTCCTGGGAGGACACGTGTTTCTGTGCCTGCCTGCACAGCAGCAGCTGTGCGTCCCGCAGCGCGTCGCAGGGCGCTGCTGCCAGGGCACATGCCCCACACCCCGTGTCCAGGACACACTCAGTGTCCTGCGCTTCAAGGGACATCGCGTCCTGGCTTTGCCCACCCTGCGCTGCGGGGACAGCAGAACTGGGCGGCGGCAGAGACGGGCCGAGGGCATGGCTGGACACCGAGGGGCGTCCAGGACTGCCCAAGCCTCGCAGCAAAGGCCTTTCTGCTTCCCCAGGGGCTTTTCCTTGGCATGATTCAAGGCGATTTCTGTGTAGACATCTCTTCTCCTGCATCCGCTTTGCATTCTGTTCTAGCCTCTCCTGGGATGGGTGCAGGTATCCCACGGACTAGCAGCCCTGGCACCCTCTTTTTTCCTCCAGGAGCCATATCTTCCCAAATGTGTCTGTGTCCCCACGAGCAGATCTTACTCCGTGGCTCTGAGTCATCTATACTTCTGCTGTAATCACCCAAAAGCTGCTGGAGATAGTCGTCTGCTTCTGTGAGTTTATCAGTCTTCCAGTTGCAGGATCAATACCATGGCACCTCGACCCCGCTTGGAGGTTTTCTGCCTGGGAATAGGGGTGTGCAGCAGCGTGCAGGGCTGGCAGTGATGGGGCGAGTGAAAGAGGGCTCATGTGCGCTGGATCTAGAATGCTCCATAATTCCTGGAGGAAGGCGTTTCTGCCGTGGTTAGCAGCCCTGACCTTTGCTTGGCTCCCATGGAGCTGCGGCTTCTTGCTCTCAGGAGCTGCCACTGCCTCTCCATGGCCACCACCAACAGTGTCAGGCTCTGGAGGGAAGAGCCGGGCGCGGAGCAGCGGCTCTGGCGAAAGGCAGGAGCATTCGGCGTGCCCGATCCCTGCATTCGGCACAGCTTCCCTTCTTGCCTTTCTGCGTCCTCGTGTTTTTGTGTGAGCGTGTTCAGTGAGAAGAAAAGAACAAGTTTTATGAAAAGAGCAGTGTGGTTTTGTATCACTTTCCCAAAGCCTTGGAGAGCAAACGCTTGTGCTGGCGAGGGAGCGTATGTGGCTGAGCCCGGCTTTGCTGGCCGGGCTGCGCGGCGCTGCGCGGAGCACGAGAGGAAGCAGCTCCCATTTTGCAGCCAGTGGAGCCATTCACACAATCACCTTCTGTTAATTCTATCTGCAACATCAATTAAATTGTTTGTAGAAACTAATTGAATGTGGCTTAATCACACATCTTAATAGCTTTCCACGCTTTGAACTCGTTGTTAATTCCAGTAATAAAATGAAATGAGAGAACTGGCTGGGTAATTAGCGAGGAGGCTTGGGAAGAAATTGCTGTTTTATAGCGTGTAATAAAAGCAGTGCGCTGGTGACCGCTCTCTCCGGCAGGCAGCCGGCTAGCACAGCGATTGTGCTGAGTTAGGGAAAATCCTGCAGCCCTCCGAGGTTCCCTGCCCGGGGTGTCACCAGGCTCCCAGCAGCTGGGAGCAGCTCCGAGCAGTGTCCATGACTCGCGTGGACGCGGGGTGGTGCGTGTCCACACTGCCCTGCAAGGTCCCGTCGCCCACACGGGCAGCGAGTGGCTTGTGTCCAGCTGCGCCTGTGTTCGCAGTGAGGTCTGGATGCCTGACAGGGATCTGCCGAAGGACCAGAGTTTGGAATGGGGCGTTTGAGATGCTGTTGGGAGGTTGTAGCCTTTGCACGGAGAAGCCTGCGGCTGCAGAGCGTTGCAGGTGCAGCCCCTTTCACCTGCTTCTTGGACACAAGGACGGGGAGCCCGGTGGCTCTTAAACCTGTCCTGTTCACGTCTGCATCCTCTGGAGCTTGGAAGCAGAGGATTTGCACGGGGACCAGCTCCGAGTTAATCTTGCTGGCGACCTCCTTGTGAACTGGAGCAGACCGAAGCCTCCCTGCGAACGAGGAGCTGCGGCTGCAGCCTCAGCCCGAGCGGCTGCCATCCCTCATCCCCCAGGCTCGAGCGAGGCCTGGAGCGGAGCCCGTGGGGCGGCTCCGTCCACACTGGGGATGGATGCACCCGTCACGGGGCAGAGGGTCTCCTTCCAAGTGCTCCGGGACACAGTGCTCCAACCCCTCATCCTTGAGTTTGCTCCACCGAACCTCTGGTCTCCTTGCCAGGTTTTCACAAATGGACTTGTCCTGACATCTGGGTGTCCATGGCAGCATCCAGACATTATGTGTGTTAGAACTGAGTCAGTCTGGGCAGGGGAAGCAAGACCTGGCTCTTCTCTGAAGCCAGTTGTAACTCATCAGCTAGTTCAGAAAAGGGTATCTTGGATTCAAGGAATTGCATCTGAGTTGTCAGAGGATGGTTTGTTGAGGACACTGGAATTGCACAGTCTCTTACTTAGCTCACCTGGCTTGGTGGTCAGCACAGCATGGGAAAACTAGGCTGTGACTCCTGCATCACCTCCAAGTGACTGCCTAGCTCCTGTTTTACCCAACTGCTAACGTGTTTACCCACCTGTCCTGTCTACCCAGCTGGTTTTGAATGAGGGGATGAGAGGGGAGCTGAGGGAGGTGGCTGGCTACGTGTTGAGCTGCAGTTCTTCTGCCATAGGATTACATGCAGAACGTCCATGGGAAGGAGATCGATCTGCTGAGGACGACAGTGAAGGTGCCGGGGAAGCGGCTGCCGCGGGCGACGACGGCGGCAGCGCCGAGCGCCAGCCCCAAGGCCAACGGGCTGGCGAAGGAGCGGAGCAGCAGCCAGCTCGCGGCAGGCACAGGTACGACGGGGTGCTGGTCGCGCAGGGGGTGCCAGCGGTGCCAGCGCCGTAGCTGGAGCAGAGGGCAGAGCTCTTGCCAAGCCCCGCCATGGCCGCTCTGGTGCGTGCTGGGCGCTGCTGCCGCGCGAGCGCACAGGTGGGATCCGCGGCGCTCTGCGGCTCCGATCCCAGCACAAGGAGAAGGTCTATGGGCTGTCCATGGTGGCACTCAGAGGAGGTGGCCAAGTCCCATCAGACCCGGTCGCAGGTGAAGCAATTGCTCCCTGAACGAGGGAGATCTCAGAACTGGGGAGTCCCTCAGTTCCTGAAAATTCTGTTCTGTCTCTTTGTTTGCGGATGTTTTTTCCTTCCCTTTCGCCTGGTGAGACAATTAGAAGCAAGATCAGTTCATTATTATTGGTCAGTTTTCTGTGTGTCCATTGCAGATGCACCAAGATCGGGGGGACCACGTCAGGAGGTTCCTGGTGTTTTGGGGAGTTCCTGCCCCTCCGTGTGCTGTTCTCCTAGCACAGGAGGGATCTGCCACAGGCTACTCCTGAGCTTGGACCTCTCCTGCCAAAGTCACCAGGGGCCTTGGGAAGCCTTGGCTTTGTCCAGGGCGATGTCCTTAGCAAGGATGGATGGTTTCCATGTGCCTTCCTCTCCAAATGGGCTGCCTGCAGCATTCTAATTCTAATATGGGCAGACTTTGTACTGACATTATGTTCACACGGAGCTGGAGGGGAATAGACCCTCCTGAGCCCAAACTGCTGTTTCTGTAGCGTCAGAGATAGTCTGCAAAACATCAGCTGCTGATCGGTTGATTGAAATTGCTGTGTTTTATGATCAAAGCAGTGCAACTCAAAGGGCTCTACCTGCTTTCTGCAGCTGCTGTCTCCTCCACACTCATTTCTTCACCATCACTGAACCCCTTCAGCATGCGGTTCAGTGGGTCCAAAGGCAGGACAGGGATTCTGTGAACCAAGAATCGGGCAATACCTGCATGGTGAGAGACTAACTGGGGCAGGGTTTAAGAGTTACGGTGCATGACTGTGTCTTCATGAGCTCTCTGTGCAGAGAGGCACTGTGTGGAAAGGGAGGTCAGCTCCGGGCAGGATGATAGCTCTCCCCTCTGTACATAGCACTCCTCGGACATGTATTCCCAGGAGCCTTTGGCTGATGTTTTTCTTAAAGAAGGTTATATCAGAGCTGTGGGAAGTATTAAAAGGCAGGCTACAGAAAAGCTGATAGTAACATGTCTGTGCAACCCCATATGCTGCTTGCAACAGTCGTCCTGATCCCGCTCAGCTCACAGGTAAGTGAGATGTGACTTGATCACTGATTGCAGCTGCTTGGAAATCTGGAACCTAGGAAAGAGATCCATGCTGAGGCCTCTTGGCCTGGCAGACAAAGCGCCGTGGGATCCAGTGCGGGTAGCTGGAGCTGGAACAATTTAAACTTGAAATGAGATGGAGCTTCCTACCAGGGAGGGTAATTAAATGTTGGAATAGTTTATCTGGGGAGCCGGTGGACTCATCACTGCTTGAAGCCTTTAAAATGAGATTAGTTATCTTTCTACGAGGTGCGTTGGAATCCAGCTCGCGTGTGCGTCGCTGCACAGGGGGCCGGGCTGGTGGCACCGTGCGCTCCTGTCGGGTAGAAATCCCTGATTTTGAGACTCCCTTTCCCTGCCTTTCCCTGGACCCCGAGCAGAGCGGTGCTGCCCTGGTGCCGAGGACGTGTGTGCCGGGGCACGACTCGGTGTTCAGGCAGCAGAGACTGTGCCTTGGCTTTGAGTGGTTGTCTGCAGTGGTCAGGATTATTCCCCCCGTGCAAAATTGGCAAGATGTTTTCTGAGGACTTTTTTGTCAGTTATTGCCAAGCCTCCAAGCCTGAGTGCAGCTGGCAATGCAGTCGCTATGTGCAACAAGGATCCTGCTTAGAATGACTTGCTGCTGTCCCCAAGTAATGCTGATATGAGATTTGGGGTCAGCAAAAACCTGCCCGGCCTCAAATCAGCAGGAACTTTGCAGTTTTTCTGCTGCTGGAGCTAGGGACAGGACCATTACTGGGATCCACTGGGTGTCTGTCATGTAATACTGGAGAGGGGACACCTCAGCACTTCCATTCTGTGCCTGAGCACAAAGGAGCCCTCAAGGACAGGCTCTTTGGAGACCTGGATTAATCATGGTCCTACACCAGGATTATCTGGTTGAAACCAAATGGCCTGTGTTTGGAGTCAAAGCGAGGGGTCTGTTATGTCCTCGAGGCCTGACCTCTGCTCCTGGTGGTGTCTGCACGCACTGGATGCACAGTCCTCACCCAGGAGTGAGAGAAAAGCAGATAAAGGGGAGGGGAAGGAAACGCAAAATGTCTCCTTCCTCCCAGGAGCTCTATAAAATGCACATACAAAATGCTCGTGATGACTCCAAATAACCTCCCAAGTAAGCACAGGTTTCTTCAAAATGCGGCAGATTTTTGAAGCAAAAGCTGTGGTGTTCCCGGCTGTTACGGAGCTGGTTTGGTACTGGCGGTAGCTTGGCCATCGTGTCGGGGAGGGACGGACTGAGAGAAGTGGCTGGGGGACAAACACCCATGGGCTGGTTGGGCACCGACAGAGCGGGATGGGGAAGGAGCTTGTGTTGGTGAAACCCGCGGGACCTCAGCTCTGAGGATGATACACAGCCATCGAAGCAGACGGCTTTGCTGCTCTCAGAATTGTTTCGTTTCACACATTGCCTATTGTAAACCAGTTTTAGGGTGTGCAGAATTCTGACAGGCTCTGCAACCATTTCTGGTTTGCCACTATCCAAGACATGATTTTGGTGCAACATATAAGCAAATATGAAGTGCTGTTTGGGTTTTCAGCGTTAGGAATTTCTCCGCAAGATCTATAGATCTTCAGAGATTTGATGGAAAGATTGGCTAGAAGCAGAAATTTTGTCTCAAACTAGAAATGTGCTTTCTGGTGTTCCTGGGAAAATAGATTGGGATTGATGTAGGTTTTGGAAGTTGGTTGCTGAAAGCTCTTGAAACACTTAATCTGCCCAAGAGAACCTGGCAGGATGGCCTCTGCTTTCCTAAGCGTTTTGTTTTCTGTTTCCCAACTGTATTTCCTCCTAAGTTTCTGTCTGTTTGAAATGTTACTGGTAGACCCCAGCCAGGGGTGAAGAGCAGGTGATGCAGAGCATGGTGCCAGTCACTGTCCCTGGCAGTGCCCAAGAAACGTGTCTATGAGGCACTTAGAGACTTGGCTTAGCAGGCCTGGTGGGTTCATGGTTGGACTTGATGATCTTGAAGGTGTTTTCCAAGCATAGTGGTTCTCTTGATTCTGTGATTCTTGCTTTCCTCCCTGCGAGCATGAAATTTTAGCACTTTAAAGCAGAGTGTTTGAGTTAGGAAGCACTTGGATGGGCTCGCTCGTGACCCGGGGGCTCGCTCTGCTCTGCTCTGCTGTGCTCAGCTCTGCTCTGCTCTGCTCAGCTCTGCTCTGCTGTGCTCAGCTCTGCTCTGCTCTGCTCAGCTCTGCTCTGCTCAGCTCTGCTCTCCTGTGCTCTGCTGTGCTCTGCTGTGCTCTGCTCAGCTCTGCTCAGCTCTGCTCTGCTCWGCTCTGCTCAGCTCTGCTCTGCTGTGCTCTGCTCAGCTCTGCTCTGCTCTGCTCAGCTCTGCTCTGCTCTGCTCTGCTGTGCGCTGGGTTCGCTGAGGCCGTAGCCGGGATGCGACGCCGCTCGTGCGGCAGCGCTGCGGGTGCTAAGGAGCTGCCCGCTTTGCCAGGCTCTGCCAGGCCCCTCTGCGTGGCCGAGCACGCTGTGCCTGCGCTGCGCCTGTGCTGCGCCCGTGCCCAGGTCTCCAGCGTGGTGGTGCCGGTGCTGTTGCGGGTGCTGCCGGGCCGTGTCCCGAGGGCAGCGTCGCGTGCAGGACAGTGCAGTCCACACGTGCTCAGGCTGGCAGGGTCTTGGCAAACTCTATTCCAGCATTTTCCAGCTTTTCGGTATCTTAACTTTATGATAGAAGAACATCCTCCCCCTTTTAATTCACTTTTAATTAAGTTAAAAGGCAAGTATTTTTCTGAAGAACAGATTTTCTGTACTTTGAACGTGTGGGCTTGGCTTGTCCCCTTGGTAGGTTTGGAGCACTTATCTAGGAGACACTGGGGGAGGAGATGGACACTTGTTCTCAGAATGGGTTCCTTTGGAAGAGGATGGGCAGCACCATTTCCCAGTGGGATGCTCGTCTGTTCCCTGGACACTTGGGCATGACGGGATTTGGGAGGGCGGGAGGGGGACGTGCGGATCTCCACCAGAAATGCTTTGTGTGTCGCCTGCCACGTGTTCCCTGCACGCGGCGGTGCTCGTCTGGAGCGTCTGGTTGGGATCCCTCCAGAGCCTTTCCGTGTCTGCTCCTCAGGGGTCTCCAGAGGAGTGTGCTGGGGTTCAGCCGGGACCCCCCTGGCTGCTTGGACCCTGCTGTGCCTCGATCCGTGTGTTCTGGCTTGAGGAATGAGGACAGCTCTTGCTCAAAGTGCAGACTGGATGAAAAGGGATGTTTTGGTGGAGAAGGACAGAGGGTGGCACAAGGAAAACACGGAGCCGATGTGAATGAGCGTGGGTGTGGGTACAGCTGCCGAGCGGGGGCTCTGCGTGCCCAGGGAGCGAACCCCGCGGGTGGGAGACGCCCTGTCCCACCGCGGGCTGGGCACAGCTGGAGCAGGACAGGGACAAGGCCTGGGGCAAGGCTCCTGCGGGAGCGGAGGCAATGGCCACGGCCGCGGCGGCTCCGTCCCCTGCTCCGCGGAGCAGCGGCCGGATGAGGATCCCGCTGCCCTGAGCCTCTCCCTGTGGGATTTCGCCTGCCGCCCAGCAGGGAAGGTGGCCCTGCTCCCATTGCTCCAGCAGCTCCCGTTGCTCCAGCAGCTCCCATTGCTCCGGCGGCTCCCGCTGCTCCGGCGGCTCCGGTGCAGCGCGGGACAGAGCCTGCCCGGCCTGGCCGGCCGCCCCACGCGGGGCCGCGCGCTGCCCCCC